CTGTGCGGGAACGTATTGGATCTTCGAATGTGTCTTCACTGAAGTAAAAAACTATAATAGCTTCACGTCTTCTAATACTGTGTTAATGTTGTAGTTTAATACAGTTTATTATCGTCATTGTATCTTATTCCATTCAAAATCAATGGAACAATGTGTCCAGTAACACTGGAATTACTTAAGTAGCAAGATTTGTAGGCTATGAACAACCGTTAAGATGGGTCTGTTATGATCTTACTCCTTAAGACAATGTAACCTATAACACTCTGAAATTACTTCAAGTAACAACATTTGTTAGGCTACGGGTAACTTTTAAGATGGGTCAAGGATGATCTTACTCCTTAAAATTGCTCAATACTCTTATAAATATACCTGAAAACTTTTAGATCTACATGATCCTGATATTTTTCAAAACATTACTGATCCAACAATTATAAAATCATCTTGAAAAGTAAAGCTATAAATGGAAGAAAAAGGGTGGGTTTTCTTAATACTGACCTCTTCACCCAGTAACCTTCATTCGCGGTATTGAGGCGGTAAAATTTAAATGCTTTCCAAACTCGATCTTAGGGTGGTACATCTGAGCACCTCTACCAGATGTTATCGAAAGTTTGTGAGATCATACAGACAGATGGACAACTCTGATTTATATGTATAGAGATGAATAAATATCACATTGTCTGTCTTCCTGTTTAATCACATTAAAATAATATAGAAAAAATATATGCTTACAAGCAAGCAGAAAGCGATGTGCGTGCGAAAATCCTTATTTATTTACATAATAAGAAAACCTGTAATTCCATTTTACTTAGTTATTATTAGATGGACTGTCTCTAAAAGTTTCTAGATGGGTTTGGCTAAAAAATTAAACACAAGTCAAATCCGAGGAGTTTTCAAATATTCTTATAAGTTAAAGCGCATGTGATTGCCAAATACTAAGCCAATAAAATAACTATTATCTGTGAGAAAACAAACAAACTTAGAATATCCGTTGTTTGAAAGTCATAAATGTGCTTCAATAGAAAAGAAAAAAAGATTTGAAAAATTTTCACCTAATATATTACGAACGTTTTTTTACCCTGTTGACTTTTTAAAATGATTAAATAGTTGGATCTTGAGAAAATGGTTTTGTATTATGTCAAATAAAGACATTTGTTACATAATGATTGCATCAATACTAAAGTTCAAATTTAATTATTAAATTATCATAAAAAGTTTAATTCATAATGTAGCAACAAACGCATAAAAAAAACCCTAACCGGAAATAAGTGTCAGTCAACAGTAATTGATTTTTATATGTTATAATAAAAAGCAAAATCTTTAGAAATTTTGATCCCTGGAAATGTGGTATTGCAGTAATGTGCCGTCCTGGGAAATTGATTGGCTGGAAAAAGGTTCGTATAAAATCGAGAAAAAAAAATGTAAAGTAAAAAAACGAGAATCTAGCTATGTGTGAGATAACAAGGATCTTATAATGAATCACAACCAATCAAATGCAGAGTGAATGTCACATGCAAATAAAGATATAAAGTTGTTAATTCTTATAAGAAACAAAAAAAAACGAGTGATTCAGCTAACGTTGGCATTTCTTCCTCTAGTTCAACTACCCTACCAAATGAAGGAAGTCTATAACAGGACTTCGGCCATCATTCTAGGAGTAATTTAGAGAATCAAAGAAAATCTATAAACCACTGTTTGTAAAAAGTCTTTATGTGAGTGTCCGCTTATAACTAACGAACCGCTGAATCGATTGTCACCAAATTCGGAGTGATTAATATTTAAGCTCTACCCCTCGCTTGTCACCCAGGGAGCTGCTATGTCTTTCTTGTGTATTGAACAGGTACATCAGCTGTAGTTTCTATATAAAATAATGTCATTCTCTGGACAATAAGTATCGTTTTATTCAATTATTCGTACGTCCTTAATTCGCATGGAAGCAAGAATAAAATGATGTTTCATTCTAACATCTGCATTACAAAAAAAAAAAAAATCGTATAACTAATCATGTATTATACAAACTTTATAATGTATGAGCTCAAATTTCTTTTATTACGGAGCAAAGTTTTAATGTAATTATGAAAACTGAGATTCCCTTCAAACCAATCTGTGTAATTATTTTGTTTGTTGTACGTAATCATGAAATTTTTCTTCTTACAAATCAAATCTGCTTCCAACATATTGCCTCCTAGTGGCACAGTAGTAAACCTGCGGACTTATAACGCTAGAAACCGGGTTTTGATACCCGTGGTGGGCACACTGAGAGCACAGATAGCCCATTGTATAGCTTTATACTTGACTACAAAAAACAAACACAGGTTCTAAAATATCGTAAAATACATTATACACCAACCGAAACAATACAAAAACAGTATCGAAAGTTCAATCCAAGAATTAATGGATTAGTATGTATCTATATGTAATGAAAACTGCTAGACACAAATAGGAATTACACGGTTTGCTAGTTAACAGACGTATAAAGAGGAACATTTTTGAATATAGCCACTAAAATTATTATTTCATTTCGTATTCTCGGTTTCATTTCTAAATAAAAATATAAACCTCAATTATTTACTCACATCTTCCTCTCTATGTACAGTATTACATGAATTGTTCAACATATTGTGACTGTTATCAGAACTCTCTTTTTTAAACTCATCTAATTGTAGATACTACTACAGCTAACTTTTGGATAACTCAAAATCTTTGTGCTCATTCAAATCGCTCTTACATATTAACTTCCAATCAGAGCAAGCTACCTACTTAGAGCGAAACTAAAAATCAGCCTGGTAATTTTGTATATAGCTAATCAAGAATATTTTTCTTGCGTTTTCACTTATAAGGATTGGAAAGTATTATTTCATTAGTAGGTACCCTTGATGTTAACGATATTTTCTGGCATAAACCCAATGATATCTCAAAAGGTTCTGCCAGCTCTGGAAATTTAGGTTTGTCCTAAATATATACATTAAGCTAATAATGCAAAACAATATTTACAGTAAAGTAGAATGTTAAAATGAAACTTAAAATTAATAAAATTAGATATATTAAACATTCTAACCATGAAAGTGACAATCAAGAAATAATAGAGTATAGCTAATTTACGGAACATATAAACACTAGCTGTTGGCTTCAAGTACCGTCATAGATCTATTTATTCACTTACAGAACAGTAAGGTTTGTTTAAATGAGAAAATTTAAGTATTATTTAACATCTTGACAAAGATTACAACATATTTTATTGTAATATAGGGAAACAGAGTATTTTATTGAAACTTAATAAGAACAAAAGTTTAGAAAAGTTAGTTTGAAATATTTAATTGTCTACGGATGCAGTGAATAAAATGCGAGCGTTATAATTCGTTAAAGGAAACATTTATGTTCACAAACAACTTAAAATCACTAATACAAGATGTAGATACCTTATATATATATTAAATTATAGATTTTTACAATTTCTTATAAACAATTATCACACAATTCAACTATTTTTTCGTGTTATTCAGGAAGTACACGACAGTGAACTTGCAGACGTGACATTAAGCTTTTTGTTAGTAAAGGCTGTCTTCATCTTCTCATTGGTCAATCGAGCTTGGCAAACACCAAAGTGTCCTTGTGATGTTGCTTTCCCAACAGTCCATGATTGGATCAGCTAGCAGATGTGTAGACACTCGTCAAATCGGTTATAGAACTTTGAAAACAGATCAGGCCTGGACTAGAAAACTGTGTAACGCTTGTAACTTCCACATTCATCTGCAAATTCAACACTATTTTATTTTGTAATTAAAATTGAGGTTTTTATTTAATTTAATTTGAAGAGTTTGCTTAACACGTGTGAACTTTAATGTTCATTACACCTGCACCGAATAATTTGTAAATAATCATTTGTAAAATCCTTCAGCTCTCCTGTTATTGTGGAATTTACCTTAAATATGTTGATTTATCACAAAGCTCCATTATACATTCCTATCATGTGCAGCTAATTTTGTGAAGCAAATCAAAATATAAAACTTACGTGTGTTTTAGCTTCATCCTTCCCAACGCTTTTATATTTTTTTGATAACAGAGCTGCAATCTTGAATCTATTTTTCTTCCATATTTCTGATTGTCCGTTTGTTCATTTGTTTGTTCCGTCGTTATTTACCTATTTATCCTTCTCTGAAGATCTCTATATATAACGTAGATTGGTCGTAAGGACGCCACATGATGTCTTTGATAAGTGGTCTAAAAAAATCAACATTTTGTGCAATCCGATATATGTATATCAAATAACCAATGACTGAAACACGAAACTACGCCAATAGATTGAGATCGATTTCACAAGAAACTCCTGGCTAGATTCTGTCATAGTACAAAAAATGATCTTTTTAAGATGAATTTTTCTCTAATGTTCTCTCTGCTTCTTTGTTCACAGTAACTATCAATAACAAAAATCCAAGTTTCGTCCTCCAACATTCTGTAAACATAGCTTCATTAATCCATCGTTCAGAAATATTGGGACCGACTGCATACAATCGCCCTTAAATAATAACGTTTCATAGATGGTTTTGGACGCTACTTTTGTATCACAATTATATAATGAAAACAGAACAAGTTAGGAAAGTTGCAGTATTGAGTTGCAGTTCGTCTAATAAGCTCCTTGGTAAGAAACCTCATTACCCTGATTATTTGAGAATTCCTAGTGAAGCTGATACATAAGATTAAGAAAGATTAAATTAAATGTCAATTTAGAGTTGCGTGTATTTCATGTTAGGAGCTATCTAATCTGAAATGTTTCGCTAAAAATAATCGCTATCGTGTTTTATGATAATTAGAAATGCTAGATTAAATTCTAAGTTTTCTCGTGATCACGTTTTCTTATCAGGTTGTTTATTTCCTTCTAAATAAATCGCGACAGGCAGCCTGAACTGCGCATGTTCGATAAATCTGTACTGGCGAATGCGTAGAAATTTCTCGCGCTGATCGAACAAGGTTTTTACTTTCGTCGTGGCAACCGAATCATTGAAACCGCACGTGAGATCGCGCAACTAACATAACAGATATCTTCTCTTAGCTGTGCATTAGTTTGTTTTTAATAGCTTCAAAAGGATTTCTTTTCGCTATTTATTAGATGTGCAAGATCATCAGGGAAGGTCTTTACAAACTGAAACCATAACCTTGTTCTAATCTCGACTCTACACTGTTGCTGTGGAAACGGTGACTTCTGTGAATCCACCGCGATGATATTGTGGTGGCTTCTGGTAACAATCAACTGGGGACCAGTTTATGGTAAGCGTTAAAAGAGAAAGTTTCCTTCTATGACTCTGTATAATATTAAAAATATAAAATAACAACGACCAGCTTTTCCAGGAAAACGAATATTGATACATGACATCGCTTTGTAAGTGTACAGAAAAATTTAGGTAATGAGCTTCAAGTTATCGATATTATTGATACATTTATTATAGTATAATTTGCGCAAAGGTCTGAAAAAGCTGGAAAAGATATCTTAAGGATTAATCTATAAGTATTATATTATGTAAACACATGTTAGAGAGAATCTTGCATTACACAATCGGGACTTAAACACATGTTTGGAAGAATCTTGCATTACCCAATCGGTACTAAAACACATGTTAAGAATCTTGCGTTACACAATCGGTATTTTAAAACATGTTAGGAAGATTTGCGTTACACAATCGGTATTTTAAAACATATTAGGAAGACTTGCGTTTCACAATCGGTACTTAAACACATGTTAGGAAGAATCTTGCTTATACAATTGGTACTTAAACACATGTTAGGAAGAATCTTGCTTGTACAATCGGTACTTAAACACGTGTTAGAAAATATCTTGCGTTATACAATCGGTACTTAAACACGTGTTAGGAAGAATCTTGCGTTACATAACCGGTAGAGTATTTTCAAGAAAGTTGTTTACCAAAGCACTTAACAAACTAGCAAAATTTCACCATTTTTATATACAGTGTCTAAATCCATCTTTCCACAGGAGGGTTGTTCTGAGACCCACGAACGAATGAATTTGTCTGTACTCTAGTAAGTAAAATCACCAATACATTTTTTCGGATGTTAGGGTCGTACAGAATAATTCCGGTTGTTGTTTTTTTCTTGGCAGTAGAAATCCTCCAATTACCCAATGAGGTATAAAAGAATAACCTTTAAGAAATAATGAATGTTTCTTGCTTTTCAATTATAATTTTATGAGACTCATCACGATTAACGTGTCACTTCTATAGATTAGTTTATCGCTTTTGCTTCACAACTGAACAGAATTTCTTTCCTTATAAAAGCCATTTCAAAGAGTAAAAAATAATACGAAATTAATTATTGTTTCTTGATTTTGATAAAGCATTCAAAAGGATTTCTCGATTTTAGAAGAATATGATTTGATTTTCGGAAGAATTTCAAGAGCAAAAATGTTACGAATGTTAATCGTTTTTTCACATTTGAAAATTTTTATGAAATGCTTAAAAAGTGACACAACTTTAAACATTTTTAACGTTTCTTATATTGATTTGTAAACAACAAGATAGAGAATAAGAATGTTTTTATATTTATGCCAAATCTAATTTTGAGTGCTTAACCAAATGAAAGGCAGCCAGTCAACAGCATCCTAACACAAACCAATACAAGCTAAAGGATTTACTGCCACTCTTATAACACATCCACTCCTTAAAGTGCGGGGAATATTTTGTGGCAACGCACAGATTCGAACCTGGTTTGACAGATCCAAAGTCCAGAACTCTACCATAGGTCCAAATTGTACCCTTCGTGAATAAGTGTCTTTAAATTCTGCTTTGTACATTGCAAACTAAAGTCTTAATAAACTGATATAGCAATTCAGTATCAATGCTAACAAATAGTTCTTAAATTATTCTTTTATTTTCCTTTGCAAATCGATATAATCTAAATACTTTATAAAATCACCCACGTAGTCAAATATGGACAAATTGGTATAATTTATTAATTTTTTCTGATGTAAATTTAATTAGATGATAAATGATAGCATCAAGTTTGATAAAGCCCAATGTTACCTTGCTGAAATGTTGTCGATTCCAAAGAGATGACGTTTAACACACTTTAGAGATGATAGAGATAGACATTAGCTTACCGAAATGAAGCATGCTTGTTAAAATATCACACCACACACCTTGTAATGATATAATTGGTATCCAAACAACAACAACAACAAAAAATGGCAGCCACTGTCTTTAAAAATATATGAACATTTAATCGGACATAAAGACAAGTGTGAACTTTCGTGCAGGCAATATAAACGTAGATGTTCTATTGTTAAAACTTTATTCATTCTTAACAGATGCTAAGGGCAGACGTCAGGCACACAAATGGATTTTTTCAAGGCGTTTCCCACTGTTACAGAACACACAAGCGTTGAATTGCCTGCTTTCATAATAAGAAAAAAGTTACCTTGTTAAGTAGTTTTACATATGATAAAAACAAAAATCAGCTTGCCCTAAGGTTTATTCACGCTTTACTAGTAATAAAGACATAAAAAAGGCAGACGTCATGCTATCGAGATTTTTGGATCCTTAGAGTAGATAAACGCAGATTATCTCCTTTCAGACGCAATAATAATTTGATCTAAATAAGAATTGTTTTTCTTCCCGATTTCTAAAAAATCCTTACGTGATAGAAACAAATGAATATTATTTTCGAAATCCGCGTAATTGAATTATGGAAAATCGTTATTAAAACCAAAACATTTTTTATGAAGTTTAAATTTGCAGGCCTGTGTTATTAGCAAATAT